CTGAAGGACAGCTTCATCCATCAGGCTGTCAGGAAGCTTAACTCCCTCCCGATTCTGCCCCCTCTCCCCTCTTCTCCTCCATGGTCGGTCGGTCGGTCGGTCGAGAGTGTCTCACTCTCACTCTCACTCTCTCACTCACTCACTCACTCACTCTCTCACTCTCTCACTCACTCTCACACACACACACACACACACACACACACACACACACACACACACACACACACACACACACAAATACCTTTTCACTGTAAGATTCCCTCCAGGAGGTTGACTGCTTTTTGACAAAAAAAAAAGGAAAAAAAAAAGTCGTCTTTGGCATTATCCAAACTCCTAAAATCCAATGGTTAAGCTCTGTGTCAGTCTTGTACTGTAAAATCTCTTAATATTGAAAACATAGGATGGTCAGCGTGCAGAGGAGACACTGCGGGATCTCTCGAGGCTGTCTTTCAATGGCAGAGCCGGTCTGTGACTATTATGAAACTTGAGGGTCTTCTAGTGTAAAAAGCTATCAGCATCAGTCCGCCCTTCATTTTGTGTTTACGCGTCGCAGTAATCCATCGTCACTGGCACACCGGCAGTATTACTTGTGCTTCAAACTGATGGGAGTCAGTGTAACAGAGAGCTGAATGTATGATCGCAATAACCGAGCAGCTCTCAATTCTGAAACTCAAACTACAGCTGAAGCAGTTTCGAAATGCCAGAATTTGGAATGAAATTCACCTAATTACAAGTTAAATTTGAGGATACTCACTTAAAGAAATTGTCTGATTTTACTTGAAAGAAAAAATGCTTTTGATGTCTAAATAAGCCCTTAAAATAAGCTCTTGATCAATTTACTTTGGTCGTCTTTTTGGTTATGTTTTTGTTAACTTTATGTCAGCGTTACTGAATACGGAAGGTGAACAATTTCTTAAATTGAATTTATCAAATTGGAGGTTTATCAGGTTTTTACAGGGAACCGGGGTCCCTGAGGGGATTTTTTTAATTTTATTTTATTTTTTTTAAACAAATTCTGATTTCAGTTTTGAACCAGCCGCCATCAAATGTTGGTTTATCGCTCGAAAAATATTAACCAACGTTCACGTCTGGTGTTAATTTATGATCGCTCCCAGACAATTTGACTGAATCAGATTTTTTTTTTCTTCTTTTTTTAATTGTAAATGAAAATATGTGAAGTTTAGCTGATGCGATTTGGATGATTCGTATGCTTGCACTGCATGCAGGCTTCTGGTGTTCCTCCAAAGACTATCTAAGTCTCTTTTAGTCCTGGTTTATTAATTTCAGTGACTATGCACTAACGTTTTTTGGTATTTATGCAATTCCATCTTCATTACATTTGTTGGTGTCATTTCTACATGAGGTGAAGATCTCTATGCACCGTCAATAGGTGGTCACGCGCCTACAGTATATGTATGAAACTTGATGAGCTTGTGTCAAAGAATGTAGTCTCTACTTGCAAGGTGCTCTTTTGATAACCCTGGTGCTCTGCTGATGAGCAGTGAGCTGAGGCCAAAACCCTTCATGTAACCGTTAATCACATTTCCTACAGATCCAGTTTTTTTTTTTTGTTAAATATTTGTCATTTACACACTTTGAACATGCTCAGAGTGTAGAGCAGGGATGGGTTTTCAGGGTTGCTCACACGCAGAAATGAGCAGCTTTAGGTGGGGAAAACTGAGCAAACAAATCAGATCATTGTCAGTTTTCAGGGCATCAACATTGTCTACAAAAAGGGCAAAAACACTGTTTGGTAAAATGTAAAATTGATACAACACCCAGCTACAATCCCTCCATTTGTCTGTCTCAAAAAAGCACCAAGTCTGTCCACCTCATGTTACTTTGTTCATATTTCTTGGGAATTTGACTGGAAACCCCTGCTACAAGCCTCTCTCCTGTCATACTCAATTTGATACGCTGACTTGATGCTGTAAACATTCCCTTTTCTTGGATTTGTATCTGTCTTTTGATCTCTTGTATGTTCTGTTGCCAACGGAATGCATATTACTAATCGGCATTTTCTCTCGTCTGAAGTAATCTTTTGTTATGACATTTTGTTTATTTCTTGCGGGGTCTTTTTTTTTTTTTTTTCCTTTTTTCTTTTTCATGAACACATGACTGATGCGTTCAGTGACACTGTCTTGTGTAGGATGTGTGGACACTAGTCACTCCCAGGCATCAGGTTAGACTAGACTAGCATTTTCATGCCAAACGTGGGGTATTTTTCATATTTTGTTTGTGAAACTTTGTTAAAGGGTTTGGTGTTGCTCTGACATATGACAACAGCCTGATTTTAATCTGGGCTGTTGTTGGTCAGAGAAACTCTTACGCCCAAATGTTTCTGTACATTGTGTTGCAGCACTGCTGTCTTTTGGTGGAATTTGACATATTTGATATGAAGCACTTGCTGTTCTTTAATGCCTGAATCAGCTTTCAGGAAGGGTTGTTTTGTTTTGTTTTTCTCCCCATACGCTCTTTGCTGTGACGCAGTTTAAAATCTTTAATTTGTCTTGCTTTTCATTTTTTAAGTGACAAGCCTTTTATATTGTGATTTTAAGTTTTGTTTTTTGTTCTGCATCAGTCCAGGTCGATGAGAAGCTGTTATATTTTGTTTATAAAAAAAAGAAAAACCTTGGGTAAACAGGCCTTTGTAAAGACGAAAAAATAAAAATTTGTACTTTTTTATTACACTCCCTCTGTTTGGTTGCTTTTATTCATACATACGACCATTTCTGCCCACCAGGTGGTGACAATGAGTGACTATTACTGCTGCGCAGAGTTCAAATTGGTGATCAAAGATGTGGCACACACACATGTGCACTGCAACAACGTGTAAAAATGATAAAATATTGTAGTGTACTATTTTTTATTTTTTTTGACAGATTTAAATGCAGTCCACTACGTAGTTGTAGTATGACAGTAGTATTTGAACACAAGTCATTCTATTAAAATAACTTTATAGCACCATTAAAAGATGCATAGTGTACAAGAGCTTTGTAGTCTATTTGAAGGAAGTCAGTGAATCTGCGTGGCTCTTCTGAATGTTTAAGTTCAAATGAATTATATTAATTTTGACACAACTTTTAGGGGTTGGTTATTAGTGGCAGATTGGCTCGTCTGAGTATTTCTGAGATTTTGCCACACAACCATCTGCAGGGTTTACAGGGGATAGTTTGACAAAGAGGACAAAATCCAGTGAGTGGCAGTTCTCTGTGCAGAAATGCCTCATTGATGTCAGAAGATGGCCAGACTGCTTTGAGAGCAGTAACTTGAAAAGCCACTTGTTAGAAGCAGGGTATGCAGAAGAGCATCTGATCATACAACACATTGAACCTAGAAGCAGATGGGCTACAGTAGCAGAAGACCACACTGGATCCCACTCTTGTCATGTAAGAACAGAAAACCGAGGCTACAGTTACAGCTTCACGAAAATTGGAACAATGTTTCCTGGTCTGAGTCTCAAGGTCTATGTCAGCTGGATGACAGTCAGGATTTGTGTGTAAACAACATGAAACCCTGGATTCACCTTGCCTTCTATCAGCAGTTCAATCTGGTGGGGGTGTAAAATGGTGTGGGGATATTTTCTTGGCACACTTTGGACGCCTTAATACCAAATGAGTGCTGTTTAAATCATTGTTGATGCCAACCGTGTCCATCCCTTTCTAACCACAGTGTACCAGTCATCTGATGACTGCTACCAACAGGAAAAACACCATACACAGAGCTCAAATGATGTCAAACTGGTTTCTTGGGCATCATAATGAGTTCACTGCAGTCAAATGTGCACCACAGTCTCCAGAACTCAATCCAGTAGAGCGATGTTCGGAAACAAAAGTTTCCAAAATCCCAGAGGAATGTTTCTAGGACCTCCATGACTGTACCTAATAAAGTGGCCACTTACTTTTTGCCCCCAACCCCATGGTAATCCGTTCAGTGTTTTTTAATCTGAGCTAAAGCAATGAAGCAAATGAAAGGCATTACTGCTGCACTATAAATGTGACTAAAAAAAACCTTGTCTCATCAAAATGTAAAGCTTCTGAATTTTTCTTTTTCAGTTTTCCGAGGTGCTTTTATACAGCCTGCAAACCAAAGCACAACATGATCACTTAGTCTCCCTCTTCTCTCAACATTCCCGATTAGAACCGGCAGCTGCTCTGACACACAATGGCTGACACGGGTGCAGCTGCTGCCGCCCCCCCCCCCTTCACTGGCATGCCCTCTGACCTTCAGCTAGAGCAGTATATATAGCTGAGGGAGATGAGCGGCAGGTCCCTGGCAGCCAAAATGAAGTCTGTGGTGTCTGTGTGCTGCTTGCTGTCTCTTCTGGCCTTGTCTGCTGCAGGTACGGTGGAGGGTTGAAGCTGGGATTTTGTCAAAATGTCTAAGTTTTGTAAAACCGCTTGATGGGTGTGTAATTCAAGCAGGCATGTTTGAAATGGACCAGCTGATCCAATACATTTAGATAGCTGTAGGTATATTTCGCCTGTGTCTTTAAGCATGTGGGTTTTTGCACATCTTGCTGGAAACTGAAATGATAACAAACAACAAATGGAAATTTTAAATATTTTTTAATAGTCTTTATTTATTATTATCATGATTTGAGCCATGAAACTATAATGGGGTCACTGCTAACTGAATGCATTCTCAGGTTTGACTCTTAGGTGTGTACTATATGCTTCTGTGGTGCAGTGCAGAATTTTTGGTTGTGTAAGTGGAAATGTCAGGGCTGAGGTGTGACTCCAGCTGATGGAAACTGTCCTGCCTGCTGCTTATTCTCTGTGCCCTCCAGAGTAACACAGTGACGGCACTGACAGAGTAACTTGGACATACTCCAAAGAATCACGTTCTCTTCTGCATCCAAAGTAAACGCAGTGATTGAAAATACAAATACAAATCATCTGCATTAACAGCACCGTGCGGTGCCCGAGTAAGGATTTACAGATATAGGCATGACACTTAATCAAACTTGTTGCGAAAGTTGTTTCAGAACGTTATAGTTGTTTTTAATTGATTTCTTTACTAAAGTTGAGGCCAGGAACACCCTTGTCTGCCCTTGCATTGCTTCATTTTGGCCCCTACAAGCTGCTGTAGTCAGGTGTCACAAAGTCGTCATCAGATACCGTAGTCACCAAAGCCGGGGATCAGTATATCTCTCTTTCAGAAATGCTCACATGTTTGCGCTGTGTAAATAGTCACATACAGTGACTCACTCATCATAAAGTTATACATGAGCACAGACAGTCAGTACTTGATTTAATGTCTCAATAAAGCTTCACCACTCCCACTCTGCAGAGCTGCTAATCTGTCATTCCAGTCAGCGCTGTCCAGTCAGGATGTTCCTTCTAAAACAGGCACGAGAAGCTCGGCACAGGGAATATAAGACCTGAGCCGAGAAGCCCAACAGTTGGGCTGTTTAAAATTACATAATGGGGCATTAAAAGTCGAGGTGAATGAAAATAAACTGTGGTGATAGAGTTGCTAACAGAAAGCACGCTGTCTTTGGAGGGTTAAATGACTGTATTTCATTAACTGTTTAAAGATGATGCTAAATGATGTATTTAAGTACTTGTTAACTGCTGGTGGCCTTCTAGCATATAAGATGTCATTTGCCAATGTCAGGACTCGAATGAAGAAGAACAAAAGAAAAACACACATATCGACCCAAAATTTAACAGTCCTTCCATCCTGTATGCGAATAACTGTGGTTGTTATGCTCAAAGTGCAATACATAGCTGCATGTCATTGATCTCACCACTGATGCTTTTATTGTTCTTGGTCTTTAAAAAGAGCTTCGTGCCGTTGCACACTGTTGCAGGGGCTGCGTGTAATAGTGCAGCACAGATGCAGGCCTGCCTCATGAGAATCACATGGAGAAGAAGAGCGTCACACTTCCTGAAAATAGGAGTGGAATTATCCCTCCTTCTTTTCACCCTCTGACTCATTGTGTCACTATTTCTGTCTCAAAGTTGTACCATCCAGCACCCAGGCACCTGTCCCACTCTATCCCCACAACACCACGGTCTGCCCAGGCTCCACTGCAGCAGCCGGCGGTGCAGGGATCAGGAGCACATTGCTCCTTGATTTTGATAGCTTTACAAGCTGAATCATTATCTATTAAATTATTGTTTTTAATATGCTAATATCACAATAGCACATTAGCTTGCTAAGATTAACACAATAGAAGCTTTATTTCTAAATCCCATATATTTTGTTCTGGACCACTGATCACTGTATTCATGACCTTAGTAAGGCTCCAGTCACAAAGACCATTCTTTATATTTGTGTGGCTAACCATCAGTATCCAAGGAAAAGACCATTTGGGGAGTGGTTGCCAGAGGTTCCTGGCAATCACATGGTGAAAATTGCAAAACCTCCTTGCGATTGCTCTTGTCTGTAGCAGGTTTCCGCAGTGAGCTTCCATGAAAGACGCTGGTTTGTCTTGCAAGCAAGTGGTAGTGAAACTGTGAAAAGCACAATACAAACTGGAAATGGAGACCATTTGCTTTCAAAGTAAAAGTTGAACCTTTTAAAACGTCTAGCCTATAGTACTAAGGCACAACTTTTACTTGAAGGTGAATATGCTCTATTTCAAGTTTGCATCACGCTTATTGAAGTTTTGCTACCACCCAGCTAGTAGTTAGTAGGTGTTTGCAGACCAGCCAGCATCGCCTACAGGCAATCTGCTAGCAGCCAAAGCAATCACAAGGAAAGTTTTTTTTTCCACTTTGTTTGTGACTGGTTTCTGTACATTTTTCTCTATCAGATGGTCGCCAGCTGGTCTGTGAGACTGAGGCCACCTTTGCTGATGAGTTTATGGTCGGAAATCTTTTAAATTTTTTTCATGATGCTCACTTTTTATCTAAAGTAAAATAAATACAACAACAGTAACTTTTAGCTCATAGCTACCCTGTACATCAGGGGTGGGCAACTCCAGGCCTCGAGGGCCGGTGTCCTGCAGGTTTTAGATCTCACCCTGGATCAATACACCTGAATCACATGATTAGTTCATTACCAGGCCTCTGGAGAACTTCAAGACGTGTTGAGGAGGTCACTTAGCCATTTAAATCAGCTGTGTTGAATCAAGGACACATCTAAAACCTGCAGGACACCAGCCCTCGAGGCCTGGAGTTGCCCACCCCTGCTGTACATCAAGTGTATATGAGTAGGTGATGCAACCCTTGCTCGTCAAGCCTGGTTTCAGAAACTGAATCAAACTGATGAGTTTGAGGTTTCAGCAGAGGACTTCACAAACCCATGGGTATCATAAAAGTGGCTACATCCATCTAATATGTACAGCAGACCAGCAGCAGACCCTTATTACCGTTCTCACAGCTATGCTGTAAAAAATGCTATAAAAATGAGAAAAACACTTATTTGGGTTTCTTCTAAATGTTTTTTTATATTGGAAAGCTGTGTCTCTGAAAGCACAGGGGATTATTTTCACACATACTATGTCTCATATATTTTTTTTCTTTCACACTGGCACATCATTCCCATTTTTAATTATGTTAACTTTAATTTAATTTGGCCACTGCTGGCAACTAGCACAGCAGAAAATGATCTCCCTGCTTGATGTGATCTTGAGACCAGCAGTTTCGAGAATAGCGTGTGCATGAAGTTCAGACAGCGTCGCTGCAGTGTTTGCAAGTTTTAAAAACTACATGTAAATACCAGGTTCTTTAAACATGCACTTTCAGCAGTTAGTGTGATAAAGAGCCTTCCACTAAATTAGCATATCAAGGATTTCAAATAAATGTTTGGTACATACGCTTTGATAATTGATCAGATGACAAAAACAGCGGATATTTAATCTGTTTTGTATTACATAATTAGTGAATGACCTTGGTGTGAAATGTCATTTAACTCTGGAAACCTTCACTAACTAAACTCAGGATTGCAGCGCCTGCTGCTGTTCATGTTACTATGCAGACAATGCTGTAACAACATGTCTATGGACGGCATCCAGACCTCCCCCAAGCTTGATCAGAATCTCTAAACCATACACCCTCCTCACTTTTCCTCTCACTAATCCCCTCTCTTTGAGTCACTCATTTGCTGACACCCATCGTGCACTTAAGTCTGGCCAAGATGTGTTTTATTAGTCTTGTTACACCCAAAATGACAGAGTCTGGACAAGCATGACTTAGCCTCCTTTAGTAACAGCGAGGGAGCATCTTCGCATCCAAATGCTGTCTCTCTGATGCTAATCGCGCTCAGAAAGTGTGATAAAGTCAAAAGACTCTTCTGCTTAGAAAGGAATTGTTTGTGGGATTTTCTGTCTTTTTGTGTGTTAGAGCTGAGGATTGGACAGGTTGTCCATTAAAGCCATGTTTAGCGATGGACCAGTAAAACAAATCTTGTTGTTTTCACTTGTATGACTGGACTGAGTTCCAGCACATAGTGTCCAAAACATTTTAAATTATAACCTTTATAGTTCGTGAACACTGAGGATCCTGTGGGATTAGAAACCTTCTCTGGTCACAGATGCTGACAGCAGCTCAGTAGGTGATAAGCTAATGAAGCTTCCAAGAGGTGATAAGCAGCATCATGAGAATAAAGTTCATGTGTGGTGTTTGATTCAAGGTCTTAAAATAGGGTAAAGAAAACATAAATCAAAGCTTAAAGTCCAAGTATACCTGACTAGGAGGGAGCTACTGGTTACTTTCACATCCACCTTTTAGACAGAAAGTAGCCAATAGCTGCACTACTCTTTGCCCACAGAGATGAAATGGAAAGGCATCTGCATTGATACTAACCTGATAGTTTGGCTCACTCAGCATCTGGATTTTCTTTCATGAACTAATCTTGGATGTGCACACTGATTCAGAGGTTTGGAACTAGCCAATCCTGATACAGCAAAACAGAGAAAGTTTCCTGTGTTGTGGATTTTATGCTGTTGTTACAGTTTTTCCCCCAGCAGCCTTTTAACTTGTCAAAACAGGAACAGCGCAAGTGAAACAAGTTTGGGTAATAATGATTTCATTTCATCAAGTGTCCCAGTAAGCCGTGACAGTGAAACTGAAATATAAAGCTTTAGATTGTGAGTCTAACCAAAGAAAGTTTATCGATTTAATCCATGCACTGGATTAAATTAGTAGAATTTAAATACATTTATGTTGGAAGTATTTTGTGCAAAAATGTAAATGAAATTATCACAAATTACTTATCAGCGTAGGACAATCTAATAACCACGACAGCTGCCTGAGGCTATTAGTCTTCATCCATTACACTGACCCCATCATGTAACATGAACCGTAGACATGTATTTAACTGCCTCACATCACACGTTGTATCACTGTGCGTTCCTCCTCACACGCAGTTATAATTAAACAGAGGTCGTGGCCTTGTGCTCTCTGGTCACTGTGGTAGTGAAGCGTATCTCACGCACATGTATGTAGTGTAATGTAGAGGGAGAAGATTGTTTATAGGTATGATTGTTTAGACGCCACGGTAACTGTAGAGCAATGCTGATGTCTGTTTACCTGAACGGGTGCGAGCAACTTGGTGTAGTCTCTGCTAATAATGTCATATTGACCTGTGAGAAACATTTAAACTATTTTATCATCAATCACTGAACAAATCTTTGGCTTTAAAGTTAAGAAAACATTTAGTGGGAAAAGGCAATGTGTGGGTTAAACAGCATGTTTCTTGGTCTCTTCTACAGTTGTAAATAGTCCTTATTTTTTTATATACCTGGTCTTGCTGCAGCCTGTCAGGTTATCAGTTTTCTTCCGCTGCCTAATCATCCAAACAGAAGATTTGAATGGCATACATCACAGTTTTTGATTCAGTACTAATCAAGTGATGCTTCTATTTGTCCTTATTAATGATAATATAATAGAATTTATTTGAAAATCAGGAAATAAAGGAACTTATTTATTCATTCACACTTTTGGCCAGAAATTTCATGTTAATTAAAAACACCACATGAGCAAAAATGTGTACCCTTACATGAATTCATTTCTGTTTGGCGTCCTCTGCCACTGTCCAGTGTTTGTAGCCTTAAATAGTTAATTCCTTCATTCCACCATTCAAGGAACTGAAATCTGAGTCAGAAATCCAAGAGGTGATAAACCTGTGATCTGCTCTGTTCAAGCATCCTGATTGAATGCAGGTCGAACGCTGACGTAGCAAACAAGGGTGACTTGTCTGTACATCTCTACTTGAAGTGAATTGCATAACAGTGATTTTTGACTATGAAATGTGAGGCATTTCAATGCATCTTTTTAAAGTCTGAGATGACAATCACTTCTTTACAAAATTTTGCTGTCAGAGATATTTCAAAGGTTTCTGTCATGCTGAAAGGTAAACTTTTGTAAAATCATATTTCCCTCTCTTTTCAGATCTCCTGACAGACTCCTCTGTCCAAGATGAGGATCCTCGGATGCGTCTGAAGCTCCAGCGGCCAGAGGGAGACCTCTTTTCCTGTGGCTGTGACACATCAGAGGAGCATTCCAGCCAGAGCTCCTCCAACGACACCCCAGCCCCAGAGAGGGCTGTGTGCCATCCCTGCAAAGCCCCATCGACTGCAGATGCTGAAAAAGACCCATCCTCCTCAGAGGATAAGGAGGAAGAGGAAGCACCACAAGAGGATTCTTCCACCGAGGTGGCAGCAAGTGAAGAAGAAGATGAAGAAGAAGTGACATCAGATGAAGAAGCTGAGGAGACAGTAGATGATCCACCTATTCCTGAAGATGAGGAGGAGACTTTGGCTGTGGCTGAGGAAGATGAGGAAGAAGCCAAAAATGGAATATCCCAGGAGGAAGAAGGGATTGAACCTAAGGATACTGATGGAGAAGATGCGGTTAAAGAGACTGAGGAATCAGAAGATGAAGACGTACAGGAAGAAACAGAGGAAGCTTCTGTAGAAATGAAAACTGTGGAAACAGTCCTGCAAGACGATACAGATGTGGAGGATGCAGCTGAGAGGGAGGCGGTCGAAGTGACCGAATCAGAATCACAAGAGGAACCAGAGGTGGTTCCTGAAACCAACCCTGAGTCTGAAGAAACGGAGCCAGAACTGATAGAAGAACCAAAAACAGTATCAGCAGATAGTTTAGAGACTGAACCTGAACCAGAAGTCACTGCAGAGTCTCCGGCTGGAGTGATTTTAGAAAAGCAACAAGAGCCAGGAGTCACTCCACAGGTTCACCCAGAAGCTGTTACAGAGGAGATAACACCACAGTCGGTTGAGGAAGCAGGAGTGCAGGATGTAAATGAGGAAGTTACAGTAGAGGCAGTGGAGGAGGTGACTCCAGAGGAGCCTTCACAGTCTAAATCCAAAGGTACAAAAACATGATGTCCCTACGATTTGTATATCAGATGTTTAAGCTCAGCTTTTATATAAAATCTATTTGTTTGAGGGAGTTTTTTGAAGAAGAGCAAGGTGACTTGTATGTTTTTGCTGAAACCAGAGCTAAATGTCTTGTCTTCATTCTGACCTGCAAGTAGACTTGGAGGGATCGTGTTACAGAAAATCTGTCCCCATCCAGCTGGTGCTTCTGTGATTAAGGAAGCATGTCATTATCTGGTATCCGGGTGTTGACACCTACTATAAAAGAGGAAGGCAAAGTCCTAAAGGGATTCCAATCTCTTACTCTGATCCCACTTCATTAATTTGTTCATTCATCATGTTTGGTGGGGTGTATGCTGTCTTTTTTTTCAAATCCTAAATGAAAAAGACCTGTTTCTTTGCCTGCTTGTAAATATTAGATGAGAACCCTGACAAAAAATCTCATATTTTCCGACTAAATATGAAAGTGCAGCCAGCTGGGAGAGAAACTGAACCCAATGCAAGCAACGACATGTGGTTTTTAGACTTTGTTCGCTTGCAAGCATAAAACAAACATTATTTATGGTTTTAGTTAGTGGACCTTATGGGTGATATTAGGGAGATTATTTTTTATATAACCAGTGTAGCTATATCTGTTTTCAGTCTTTGTGCTAAGCTGATCTTCTAGTCATTTCATAGCTGTAGCTTTTTAGCTTTCAGACCTAAAATCGTATGTAGATGGTGACTATAGGCATTGTGGTACCATCCAGTGGTTTGTGGAGCAGTATTTTGAAGTTTTATGGCATCCATGTGACTTTTTTTGTCTTCTTTGGCACCAGTTTCTCAAGTGAAATCATGCACACAATAGTTGGGAGTTGCTGAAGACACATTTTCTGTTTCCGTTTTGTTGTTGAAAGTCAGATAGTAGTTGGTGAGAGTTTTTGCAGGTCAGGGAATATAAATTATCCCCACATGACCGATGGTTGCCAGATGGTCTGACTGGGACCTTATTCACTTAACCTTACAGGGTCACACATCTAAAATGGCAAACAAGTTACTCTCACATGGTTAGCAGTCACATGACTGCAAAACCGAAATATTCCACAGACTCTGTGGGTTGCTGGCCACACAGCAAGCCAGTCGGATAATTACATTAAAACTGCTTTAAAAGTTTCTGGTAACAACCACCTGTCAATCAAAGCTTCCGGTTACTAAACTTTAAGTCTTCATACTGTTCATAAGGTTAAAGCTGAAGGCCTGTGATTGAATCTCACCTCTGGTCTCTCTCCTGTTGTCCTACTGCAACAAAGGCTAAAAAGCCAAAAAAATATATTTGAAAAATGTAAAAGTTTTACTTTTGTTACGAATGGGTAAATTATCTACAAGACTAACATTTTTTAACCCATTGTAAACACGTTCATTTCACTGTAAGTTGGCCTCTTTTCACATTGGCTCACTTTTGGAGGCAGACTCAAGTGGCCACTTAAGGACCTGCCATATTTGGCACTTGTGCTCTGGCTTCATTTTTCAGCCTTGGAGTCGCTTACTATGACATGCCTACTGATTTTCTCATCGAGCTTCTGACAAGAAGGAAATAAAAATTAAAAAATGAGTCCCTTAATGTAAAGAACGCCTCACTGGAACATTTCATGCTTACCCTTTGGAAATGTTCAGTGGAGCACCCAGAAAAGAATCTATTGATAAATGAAAACAACCCAAGCTTTGAGGAGATGAAAAGATTTTTATTTTTATTTTTTTACAAACGCTGTAATGTGCAATTTGCTTATTTGGCAGCTTATTGGTCTGTCGCAACTTTAATAAAGACATTGTGTTTTGTGTTTTGTGTATATAAAATGTGCCTTATGACATAAATTCTGTTTGGTAATGAGATATTTGTGTCACTGGGCATTTAACTGAGACAGGTCATGAAATGACAGCAAAGGTCTATGGTATCCGGCTTCTCTCTTTCTTTTGTGCACATGCCAAATCCCCAGAATATGACACTGTGTGTAGTTAAAGAGGAATCAGAAACAATCTCTGGTACAGAAATAAACAGCCAGGAGTAGCTGTGGAAAGGAACAGACAGATAGATATATAACAGCATGACATAACAATTTAGGACATTTTACATTGAGTCCACGTTTGTTTTCCCACCATGTCAGCAGTTGTGTATATTTTTCACAGATAAAATTCGATTACTTGCTGTCACCGTGTGCCTGTTTTTCCATGTTAATTGTCACGTGTTAACCGAAACAGTTGGTTCTTCCAATTTAAATGCACAGAAGGAGAGACATTAAGCGTGGCACTGAGGAACCGTTCCCACATTGAGGATACGCTGCGACTGGCGTCTGCTGAACCGTCAGCAGAGTTCTCAGGTAAGGAAGGAACAGCGGCGGTTAAGAAGCCCCCTCTTTAAAACTCCCATAAAACACATCCTCTCAATAAAAAGCTGGTTCTTCAGTGAGCGCATTTGCTACGCTGCACACTGTTTCAAACATCTTTCAGACTTTTGCTGCAGAAATAACGCCTGGAGTCATGTACTGAAAAAATGCAGGAGAATGCTTACAGCTACTTTGTCAGTGGAAAAGAAAAACAGATGCTTTTCTGCATGCATATGAAAGGAAGTTTGAAACAATTTTGGAGGTTTTTTTCTGCAGAAACTATTCTGATTGCTTCCCGATGTCTGGGTCCTGAGGCCTTTATGTGAGCATGTGTGTACAGTATGAAAGTGTGTGTGTGTGTGTGTGTGTGTGTGTGTGTGTGTGTGTGTGTGTGTGTGTGTGTGTGTGTGTGTGTGTGTGCGTGCGCAGACGTGTCTTAAGGGAAGGTGATTAATCAGTGAAAATGCCTAACTCTGTCCCCGGCACAAAAAGCCCCTCTGTTCTGTTGAGCTAGATTGTTTTGTTGCGGTGAGGCCAAAGAGCTGAGCAAAGCCAGCCCCTAATCACCTCAGATCCATTCAGTAAACTTTAAGAAGCCGATTCATCACATACAGCAGGAGCAATTGGTGTCGTCAGTAAGGGTAGTAAGAGCATTCGTAATGCTCTTTTACATAACCATCCCAACAGTCCAGGTTGTCTTTCCTTTACTCCCCTCCAGGTGCCGTGAAGACGCTGCTGAACATCTACCACAAGGCCGTCAAGCCAGTAGAGCAAGCCTTCAAGTACAATGAGCTCAGGCAGCATGAAGTCACAGGTGATTTAGCTTCCTACGGAGTTTAACTGCCCTTACCAAAGCACTAACAGTTTGTCTGTACAGTCACAAACAGGTTTTACAGGTCCACATTAGCAACATGGGAAGAAACTGTTGGTCATGATCTCTTCACGTCTATTTTTAACTTCAGCAGCGGCCTCTTGTGTTATAAAGTTCACTCTTAATTTCAGGCCGTTAGAAATCAGAATTTCACATGCTTCCCTGTCACAGAAATACTGTTGCTGTGAATGTCAGTCAGAAGCCACAGTTCTGGTAACTTGTCAAAAGAAACAGAAAGCGTACGACACGACTTCAACACATTGCTTTTCCAGCCGTTTACTGTGGTGTGTAAAACCAAAGCAGCACACCCTACCCACATTCCTTTATCAGTTCACATGTACACAGTGCCTGGTTTAATGAAATGGAACAGCACAGCAACACTGAAGTACAAATAAAGTCATAATTATAAATGAATATGAAGCCAAGATGTGACATTAATCAAACCAGGCACACAGAGAAGCACAATAAGGACTCTGTCTGCTGAAATTTAAAGGGAACATTGTGTGGGCCAGGAGCACTGCAACTTTGTTCCATAGCACTTCAGGGCATGGAGTATTATTTATGCTAAGGAGCAGGATTGAGACTTCACACTGTGCCATGTGATTCTGGGACACCTTGTGTTCCAGAATGGAAGTACACAATTACAATCAATTCAAAGGTAGTTTCATTTATTATTGTTATTATTATTTTTTACATTGGTGAGTATATATCACAAAGTGTACCATTAAGGTCTTTTATATTAAGAGATTCTATGCTTTGTTTTCTAAGTTTATTTTCTGAGGGGAGAATAAATGTGCTTTGAATTAAATGTCCCCATTCATTTTGGTATTTCCTTTGTCCAACGGGAGGTTTTAATTTAAAGACAAGGACGCCACAAAAGAATAATCAGAGGGATTTACCAAAACTTTAAGTGGTCACCTTCAAAACTTTCTAGCATTCTTGAAAGTCTTTGCTGACCTGGGTTGCTCTGAATTAAAGTGTCAGGGGTGCATACCCACTGTATACTGGCAAACCAAACAACCAGTGTGTGGTGTGGTGACATGAGCAGGATGGCTGCAGCTGTGGATTTACTGTTAACTCTTTCCCCAAAAAAGAGAACATTTGGTGACCTTTTCTGTACCCTTAGTGATGAGTTTTGACACTTCAACATATATCAATATATCAATATGTTGAAGTGGTTTTTTTCAAAGGGTGATGCTAGCAAGCTGTAAAGGCAGAGGTCACCCTCACCAGCTTCTGATGCACAGCCAGTCATTTTGTTCTGGAAGCATGCCTGAAAAATGACAGAAACCAGGATTAGCTCCAGTAAGCACCCGAGGAGGGAAAGATGTTTTAAAAAAAACAGTAGTTAAACAGTAGCATAGTTTAAGTTTTTCAAAAACAAAAAAGAGGAGGGTTTGATGTGTTTAATGACTTCTTTGTCTATGTCTTTGTTCCTTTTTTCTTCATCCTTCTTTTTTATGTCTGGCTCTCACATACTCAGAGGGCGAGGTCACATCCAAGCCCATGGTTTTGTTTCTAGGACCCTGGAGCGTTGGCAAGTCCTCTATGATCAACTATCTGCTGGGTCTTCATGGCACCCCCCAGCAACTCTACACAGGTTCATACAGATACAGCATGATTGTTAGTTTGTCAGTGACAGCTTCATCTTGACTTGAAGCTATAATGTAACAGTGTAAATAAACAGAATAGTATTAATAGTAATAATAATAGCTTGATGCATGCTCAATAATCCAGGTGAGGAAATCCCAGAAAGTGGATTATGTTGTCCTGGATGCGATGTTTTCAGTGGGACAAGAGTTTCAACACGTCCTCAGACTATATAACATATTATATATTATTTCATTATTAAAGAAGGTTCATTGCCACTTTGGCCCGTATGACACAAATACAACAACCCTGAATATCTGCCAAAAGTTTTATCCCTTCTTTTAAACATGTTAAGAACACATTTGTCGAGAAACATTTTACAAACAAGGCTCAAAGTTTAGTTAAACATTTAAACAATAGTTTATTTTTACAGTCATTAAACATTAGACAAGCATTTTGTTTTAGTACTAAAATTATATGTTGGCGTTATTTTGCATTAACAAGTTATTATTACAAATTAATTAATCAAATTAATAAAACATTTCCTTTTCCATCATTTCAACAGGTGCTGAACCCACTACCTCCGAGTACACTGTCATAATGCACGGCGAGAAGTTTCGGAGTGTAGAGGGCATCGTCATGGCGGCAGATAGCTCGAGGCCTTTCTCGCCTCTAGAGAAGTTCGGCCAGAACTTTCTGGAGCGACTGGTCGGCATTGAGATGCCACACAAGCTGCTGGAGAGGGTCACCATAGTCGACACACCGGGCATCATTGAAAACCGAAAGCAGCAGGAAAGAGGTGATTGTCACATTTCTTCTATTAGTGCAGCAGTTGATGAAATATTTAATGTTTTTGTTCTAATTCTCTAATTATACATGTAAAATTTAACTGCAGGCTGGTATTACTGGGGTGATCCACTACAATGACATTTCCACACTGGTTTATAGAGAGAGTTGGATTAAATCAGTATACAGCACTATCGGATATCTACACTCTTTATTAAACCTATATTTTCTGCCAGTTATTTGTTTTTTATGATTTTTTTTCAAGTAAGCCTTTCACAGAAAACAAAGAATAGCTGTTAATAAAAAGCATGCTGATTGGTTTATCTTCTGGATGCAATGAGAGGTTTCCTTGAAGCTTTCTGACTCTAAAACACACATAAATTGTCCTCTTTTTCCTTCAGGATACCCATACAATGAGGTGTGCCAGTGGTTCATTGATCGGGCTGATCTCATCTTCCTGGTCTTTGATCCTACTAAACTGGATGTGGGAGGTGAGCTGGAGATGCTCTTTCGTCAGATGAAGGGCCGTGAATCACAGATCCGCCTCATCCTCAACAAGGCAGACAGCCTCTCGACCCAGAACCTGATGAGGGTCTACGGAGCCCTGTTCTGGAGCATGGCACCGCTCATCAATGTCACCGAACCTCCTCGAGTGTACGTCAGCTCCTTCTGGCCTTACGCCTATGCTCCAGACACCAGCCGGGAGCTGTTTATGAAGGAGGAGATCTCACTGCTGGAGGACCTCAACCAGGTGCAACTTCTACAGCAGTTTTTGTTGACTCATTAGTTTAATAAGCAGGATTAAACTGGAATTAGCTTTCAGGTGGATGCTGGAGTAGAAGTGGGGGCTTTTGAAACACTGGAAGCAAAAAGTAGCAGCAAATCTTTTAAGTGAGAAGTGTGGCAGCACAAATGCAAAAGAATTACCGAAATACAGCTTAAACCAGTGTGATTACAGAGAGGAGGTTCTGTTTTACTGAGAGCAGTACATATGTCATATTAAGTGGAGAAGTAGTGGACTGATGTTGGGTATGAGCTTTCAGACTTTTTCAGAAGTCTACTTGTTGGTTCAGTACTACTGGACTTCATGATGGTATCATTGCAATCAAAGCACACGTTCGTGCTAGTAATCTACAATTCATTGTTTCGGTTTGGTCCTTTTATCTGTTTTGTATCACCCACTCTCTCTCGTTTCTCTTCCTCCTCCCTTGCAGGTGATTGAAAATCAGATGGAGAACAAGATCGCATTCATTCGGCAGCACGCCATCCGTGTGCGCATCCACACTCTGCTGGTGGATCGCTACCTCCAGACCTACTACGATAAGCTGGGCTGGTTTGGTGACCCCCATGAGGTGTTCCAAGACATTGTCAATGACCCCGACAAGTATTACATCTTCAAGTCCATTCTGGCTAAGACCAATGTCAGCAAATTCGACCTGCCAGACAAGGAGGCCTACCAGGACTTCTTCGGGGTCAACCCGATTTCCAACTTCAAGCAGCTCTCCTATCACTGCAGCTGGACTGGAGGCTGCCTGCTGGAGAAGCTCGAGAAAGCCATTTCACACGAGCTCCCGGCTCTGCTCAGCAGCGTTAGCAAGAGGACAGATGCACCCGCCCCTGCGAAAGCTGCAACAACACCGCCGCCTCCCCTCCCTGGTACCTGTGAGGGCCCTGCATGTGAGGAGAAGCCCAAAAACCGCTGGAGGAGACAGTGAGATGGAGGAGAAGGGTGCAGGAGGAGGCAGATGGTGGCTGGGAAGACAGAGAAATGAGACGGGAAATGTACCACGAACTAGAGAAACTGGAAGACCCAAATCAGAAGTACTTAAGTTTATTTATTAGTGCTTGTTTGTGTCTTTATGATGTACTAAGCAGACAGAATATTTAGGCTCGTATAATCTCACAAGATATCTGAATGAAATCTGAGAGACATTCTATCTCACATCTTTCAAGTTTGTATATTATTTATTGGCTCTGCTTTTCATCAGAGAAAATTTGCTGGCAGTGACTCTACTCTTCCAACGATATTAAACGCTGCGTCTTTTGTGTGCAATGTCTGAAAATTCAGTGCGATCTGCAGTGCTGTGTTCTTATGCCCTCTACTCACCTATCCACCAGGTTAAATGTCCTAAAATCAGAATACGTTTATATTAGTACAATGGAAGAGGGAATGGTGCTCCTGTTGTGTTTTCAAATGTCCCTGTACCACATTTAGTTGTAATTCCACTACCCTACTGTAAACTGTACTGGACTCTGTATTTTACTATACAATGTTCATTATACAAACTATTTTTATTTGAACATCTCTGGTGATTTTCTGTTTATCCAATGCAAAAACCCATAATAACACGTGGCCTTTTCAGCCATCCAAACTGATACTAGTGTTACCTCAACCACGGCTGCAGACCACATGGGCATTTCCTTTAAAGTGTAATCTTCTTCTCATTCTTTTAGGCCTGTTTCTCATTGTCATTGTTTTGTGTGATTTCTTTTGAGTAAACACCAAAAATCAGGAATCGTGCCTGTTTCCTTTGTGAGCCTTCAAAGACATTACCGACGAAATCTCTCCCACTGAAACGATTTATAATTCATATCATTTGGTTGTTCGGCTGCAAAATTTAGAAGGCTTTGGGAATACACAAGGTAAAAGCATCAGTTCTCGCAACATGCTGTTTTGGACTGTCAGCCGAGAGGAAGAAACTGCAATCAGATTTATTCACATATATCCATCCGGATACATGCTTTATGGATCCGAGGCATAGCTGAGCGTGTAGCAGCTGAGTGAGCTCACAGCAGCCCAAATCACAGCAAAATAGAAACGCTAAGCTTTTTTATAAGCTGCTGGTTAATTATGCTTTGCAGTGAGGGAAGACAGACACCAGGTGGCGCTTCCATTCAATGTGTTAATTGATGGTGAAAAGAAAGCAATAGGTTGGATGTATTTTTATAAGCTGCCCGTTTTTTGCAGTTTGTTTAACAGCTGCACAAACTTGGTATAGACACAGTTTTTATGCTTGCTCACGGTTTGTCAGCAGCTTATCGTTTTATATAGGCTCAAATTTCTTTAAAGCAGTGCATTTTTCATCAATCAAAAGTTTGTGTGTGCGTGAGTATAATTATATATCTATGTGAAGTGATTTAGATGGATCCCACTACAATCGTGTGCCAGACAATGCTACACAGTCAGCACAGAAGTGTGCAGGCAAGCAACATGAGATGCGTTCATAGTTGTAGGACAAAAGTCTGACAATGTAGAGAGTCAATGATAAAAGATCACACTCTGTAAATACTGCATATGGTGGCCTACACAATTAGCGCGGCTTTTCTAAATCACCGCCCACATCGCAGATCTGTTCAGCGATGAATGAAATTAAACAAAGAGGCAATTCAGGCAATTCAAGCGACAGTGTCTCGCTGCTTCAAAAGCACACAATGAAACCTTGAAACTGAGCTGAATAAGCAATGCTCTAGACCACTTAGACACTACTTTAAAAAGTGACTCGACAACACACTCCAAACAAACTCATCTTTAGTGTAGATGGTGGCATACAAGCAACATTTCAAGTTACTTGTCGTTCATTCACTTTTTTTTTTGCCTTTCTTTTATTCCAGACTGTTTGGACACTGGGAAATAAGTCACTGTACATGTTTACTTGTGATTCAGTGTATTTTACCACTATTTGTCTGAATTAGATCAAATAAATGATTTTTCGTGCTAGGCGCCTGAGTGTGATTGTTCCAACATGGAATTGCTACCATACTAATGCAAAGAAAGCATGTTTGTCATGTTTAATATGTTAGTTTAAGTTGGCTCATTCACTCTAAATGGTAAGTCATATGGAATATTTGATACTAGCCCAAAGAATCACACAAATTACAGTTATCTATCAATTAAACTTCATTTTTATCTGTATAGTGCCAGTTCATAGATCATAGAATATTAGAGGAAGAACTCCAACACTCAGGCAATCGTATATGAGCAAATACTTGGCAACAGTGGGGTGCAAAATGTCCATTTTAACAGGAAGACCTCTGGCATTGGTTGCACTGTAGGACCTTGTACTGTCTCTTTATTGTAGAAGTCTGTCTTGTTTGGAGTGGTTTTCAGTTTTGCAATTTTGCACTCAGACTGGGAGAAACACAAATTTATCCCGGTGTGTTTTAATACAGCTGGAATGACAAATAAAGTGAACTTGAAGTTGAACTCAGTGGAACTGTAGTCAGAGAGGGACAGGCATCTGCTCTTTGGGGGTAAGGGGGAAAAAAGACAGAAAAGTGGAGCACAGACAGACCACAGTTTGATGATGATGAAGTGAAAAATCAGGGGATCACTGCGTGTGCACTTCACTGCAACAGCACCACACATTTCCTTATAAAATATCAGGATAATCTATCCAGCAGTTGCTGAGATATTTCGAGTCGAGCAGTGTGGTGGGGTGACGCAGATTAATGGACTGACTTTGCCATATGACAATAGCGAGGCTAAGAATGTCTTTATTTTAGGCTTTTCAAAAGTGGGATATATTTAAAGGTAAACGTTTACATCATGCTGATTGTCACCGCAGTTTTAGCACCTTGCTGTGAAAAGTCACAACAACAAAAATGTGTTTTCACCCTTCCAGGCCTGCTGCTCACACTGAGCTCTATTTAGAAGAGCTTAATTTCCCTGCTGTGGTCAATATGCAAAAGCAGCCATGTTTACGGTACAGTGCAAACTCACCTATGCATGTGCTCCACATCCTCATCTGTGTTTGAGCATAATCTGTGTTTGCTGAGTTGACAGACGGGGCCGTGCACACTGTCAGCGCAGACTTATCAGCGTAGCTTTATCAGCTCTTCAAACAGGCCTCTCTTGTAAGCTCTTGAACCCAAGCATGCACACGCCACCCACATGCCATACACACACACTTCAGAGGGCAACTTGCTTCAATTCAAAGTTAAAACGTTATTGCTTCTTTAAAGATTCACAAATACATTAAATAAGCATAATAAACATTTATTACCTTGTTTATCATATTCTTATTCACGTGCGGCTCAACGCTTATTTGATTCAGCTGCAGTGAACACAGTGTGGTGCACAATAGCAAAGCACATGTTACCGATCCTTGACAGTCAACACACCTTAGACATAAGAAAAATACATTTGATATTAATCCACAAACTTGCCGTGGATAATTGCTATTGTGTCAAATGTCAAAGTTGTGGAACCACTTTTCAATGACTTTTGCAAAAGTCCTTAATTCCCTAATTCATACATATTGTAGTCAATTTGATTGGTGTGAATTTAAGCCCTGCTACTGTGGTTACACAGTTGCCCAGCATGGTATCAAATTTAGCATAACTGTACTTCTTAACTTAAGACGAATGTAATGTGATTCTGATCTGATCTGATTGCACTGCAAACATTAGTAATTTACAACTGGGAAAAAGTGCTAGATTTCATATTTTCCTACACATCAGACTAATCTGAAGAGTTTGGTTGCTGGACTCTACAAATATAGATGTGGATCAGGATGCACAAGTTAGGCACTGAGAGCAGTTCATTTGTTTCAAAGACAAAGTAAGACGTTCTGCTACTATCAGACAGGATGTACAAGGTCTAACCAGAACATAAAATGTTGTATTTTATAGTATAACCCAATACGGGTTTTAGTGTCCCACATGCATACCGTCATGTCAAACCCATTCCCCTCTATTTAAGGCCAGCATTGAAGTAATTAACTGTCGGTTTAATCAATGGTAATAATAGGAAAGACTGCCATATTTGATCTTCTAACCTGAAAACTTGACTCATCTGAAGTTCCAGTCAACAGACACATCAGATATGACGGAGTGTGGTGCAGGATATCCACAGTCAGGAAATGATATTTCAAGCAAAACAAAAAAGGAACCACGCCGATTAATATCTTGTTCTTCTGTGGGTGTTACTGTAATTAATGCTTTATAAGCGCAAACTGTTAATTTAACAGCGCTTGTTAAGAGCGTGAAGAGGCGTGAAGATAATCACTCAGAAAACATTCAGTTATTCCCTCTGACCAGATGCAGCGAAGCTTCGTACTTATTTATGGAAACCACCAATCAACAAACACTGATCGAGGAAGGTAACAGAGTCTAGCTTAAAGTGATCAATCTGGTTTGGCAATTGTGTCGTATTATTATGGTAAATTAAGATCGCTTTTAAAAGGTTTGTTGCTGCCTGTAACCTTGATATGAGGTTAATTATACTTTAGCTTTTAGCTTAAGGTGAGTGCTGACTAATATTGGAAAACTTATGTTATTTGATTAGTTATTTGAGTTACTTATTTTCCAGTTAAATACATAAAAACCAAGTACTTGTAATAAAGTGTTACTGTAGCTATATATCTATTACATTTATAACATTTTTGTATGGTTCCTTTTAATGAAGAACATTAAAACTGGCTTAACTTGCAAACTAGGCCAGGCAACGACAGCATACCTTTCTGGGGTTTTTTGATAAATGATATTTCTGTTTGTGAAGAAGCAAATTGTTTTTTGTTTTGTTTTTTAACTGAAACCGCCACAAACACTGCCATGGACAAAATACCGTTAAGGTACTATATTTATTTAGGTGTAAGTGGTGCGCTGCTTTTATTGTGAAAACCTGCTGCCCCCCACCCCTCCCCAGCTTTAAACGTTTCTTCTTTTTTTAAAACTTTAACTTACAAAATGTTGTTCGTGCGTTTTTAAGTGATCCTGTTTCTATCCCGTGTTTTTTTTTCGGAGTCACTATCCTTTACAGAGCAGCGAGGTGAAGTTTTTTTTTGGAGGGGGGGTGAAAAATGTTTTACTGTCTTTGCGTTTCTTGAAAAGCAAGACCGGAAACTATGTTTTTTAAACTGTGGTTTGCTTTACAGGCTCCTCGGTCACAACCAGCACACCAGCTGGGGCGAGGATTTCAGTCACAGCGAAGACCCCTGGAAGCTGCAGGAGAGGAGATACCACGTTCGCCTGGATAAGACCGCGAAAGCAGCCACAAACCTGTATGTGTTTATATCCACCACACCAACTCCAGCAGAGAGCTTTATCAGGAGGGGGGGAGAGAAAGGGTGGCACCAACGACGGACGGAAGAGGACGCACCACAGCCAGAGCGCACAGTGTTGTGTTTGTTGGACACACACATGCCAGCGAAAACTAGCACTATCCAGACCTAAGGAATTGCTTGAGATTAGAAGTCACCGCTGTTTGGTGGGTGGGTTTTTTTTAATCCCACCGAGGAGATCCAAGGGTTTTCTGTATTGCTCTGGGGATTTTCGCCTTCTTTGCTCTAAGGGAATGCGAGGGGAGGAAATCCAACCTCAGCTCCAAATATCTAGAGACTCTTAACTGGGTCTCCTCTCCAAACGCAGGAAATACGGCCTGGGATAAAAGTTTGGGAGCTTTTTGGAAAGTGGAGGAGGTTTGTGGCTGACGACTTGCACACGTTTTGCGACTTTTTAAAACCGGGAACGTTTTCTGCTTTTGGCGCTTCTGGTTTTCTACAGAGGAGGTAGAAGAAAAGCATTAAGATGTTACACGCTGTCGGTGTTGTTATTTGCAACAGTTTTGATCATCACTATTTATAGACCAGCCTGTTCCGACCGAGGGTGTTCCTCATAGCTGTATGTTTTGCCAACTGCGCGCAACAAGTTGCAGACACTCCCAGCAGAGGCAAACCTACGCTAATTTGGGCCAGCGGATGGTAGCCTATTTTCTGCTCTTCTCTGTTCTGATCATGCGTCTTTGAATAGCGCATACCCCCTCCCCGAGCCCCTCTTTGGAAGGCAGAGGGGAAACAAACGGTGGAGATCCGGAGAGGGAGTTCAGGAAAGGACGGGGCTGGATCCGTGGGAATAGGCCTGCCTGTCAGGCCTCTTATGATCTGGGGTTTGGACTGGACAGGACTGCGAAATAACTCGGTGTGGAATATTTGCAAGGGCCCGTTGTAAAGATAAAAGGGGAATATATGGGAATAAGAAATGCAAATCCTTAGCAGCCTGAGCCATGCAATGACAGTGGATGTAGTGGAAGGTAAAGCCGCATTCATTACAGAGCTCAAACTTTAAAAAGGAAATAAGGGAATTAAACGTTTGCCCTTATTTTAGGCAAACGAGAATTCAAATATTTAGTACTTAAAAACATACATTCTGTGTAAAGGGAGAATAAAGCTCATACATTACTTTTTTGAAAACAGTTTACTTCTTTTGATCCTTTATAATGAGGGAATTTAAAGTGTCCACGCGTTTTTGTGCTCAGCACTACTTGTTCATAACACAGATTTTAGGGTTTTTTGTTGTTGTTTTTAAACAAGGAGTGTAAAGGGATCATTTATCCGCATGTTGTGGAGATAAGAAGGGACAGAGTAACTTTTGTAGCCAGACGCCTGTTGACAGTCTAAATCTAGCATCTGCTCACACAATGAAACATTCGCCTTGAATGCTTTCCCCCCCTACCAAACAAACAGTGCTATTGTGGAATGAGGGAACTCGTAAGGGTTTTTTTTCCCTAACGGCATCTAACTGTAATGTCAGTAGTACCGAAATATTGCGCACACTCAGAGGAGGTCATTTCCAGTCATGTAACGACAGGGCCGACTTGATAAAGGCACAAAAACAGATGCATCACTAAAGGCTCCTTTCCGAGAAGGATGTTCTATTCAGGAGGCAGAAAGAGTGATGACGGTGTTTTTACCGCAGCTGGAGAGAAAGCCGGGCTC